CCATGAAACAGCTTGAAAGATCAAAGACCATTTTTAATATAACTCCGACTGGATTCGTCTGAAAGAAGAAAGTCATATACACCTAGGATGACTTGAGGGTGAGCAATTTATGGGCTAATTTTCATTTTTGGGTGAACTAACCCTTTAAGAGCGTTCGATGTACGAATCTCTTCTGGAGTCTCACCTTTTAATTGAATAAGCTCCTAAAATCGGTCTGAACGACACTGACTCATTGAACCAATAACTGTCTTTCAAACGCATTATACACAACTCACCGACTCAACAAACCAAGAACCGTCTTTTTCAAATATTTTCGACTCATTCAGGTTGATTCAGGTTAACAACTCTTTATTGTAATCGTAATTTACAAATGTAATAAACAGCAGCCTGTACATTTGGGTTTATTGGAACGATCTGAAGCATGTAACCATGAAACAGCTTGAAAGATCAAAGACCATTTTTAATATAACTCCGACTGGATTCGTCTGAAAGAAGAAAGTCATATACACCTAGGATGACTTGAGGGTGAGCAATTTATGGGCTAATTTTCATTTTTGGGTGAACTAACCCTTTAAGAGCGTTCGATGTACGAATCTCTTCTGGAGTCTCACCTTTTAATTGAATAAGCTCCTAAAATCGGTCTGAACGACACTGACTCATTGAACCAATAACTGTCTTTCAAACGCATTATACACAACTCGCCGACTCAACAAACCAAGAACCGTCTTTTTCAAATATTTTCGACTCATTCAGGTTAACAACTCTTTATTGTAATCGTAATTTACAAATGTAATAAACAGCAGCCTGTACATTTGGGTTTATTGGAACGATCTGAAGCATGTAATATACCACAATATACTATAATAATGTCAAAGAATAATTTAATTGTTTATTGAATCAGTTTGATTAGTCAGCACCTATTATGTTCAAAAAAGGTTTTGTGAGACAGCAGCTGTTTCAGTGAATGTCTGCTGGTACCAAATGCAAGATAATGAACAAACATGTTGTATGTTACATGTTATCATGTCAAATTCAGATGTTCATACAAATCGGAATTAACTGAAGCTGCAAAGGTGGTTATATTTGGTCATATTTTCCATCCACCAGCATGGTTATTATGAGTCACTGCTGACAGCTAGACAATATTTATGGGGAGTCTAGACAAGTATTTATTTATAGCAGTCTCTCTTGACATTGTTCGCCTGAAACTATTTAATAAACAGAAAATGACACATTTGAAAGCTCATTTCTCTGTGGGAGAGTGTGTGCCACTGTTTCTTTTATACCAGATACACAAACATAATTTAATAAGTAAGATTTTTTTTCCATTAAGTTAAGCTGAGCATAAAGATGCTATAGGGCTTGAGATCCAGCACTAACAGGGCTAATCTGCTACTTCCTTGAGAAATGTTCCTCACCCGAAATTCCCTTGCCAGACCAGCTGTACTTAGCTCGCCTAATACTCAACAGCAGATCAGATCACGCAACCTGCAGAGCCTCTTAAGCCAGTCAGGGTGTTTTGTTTTCTTAATTATACATGCTCCTCTTTCAGCCCTCCAGACTGTATAGACTGAAGCATCTTTACCACCATGCAAGATGGTGAGTTATAGTAGATATATAGAGAACACATTTTGGTTGAAAGTTCAGTGGTGATGCTCCAATTTATTGGAGTCATTTTTACATTTTACTACATTGCATAAGAATAATAATAACAACAACAATAACTATTATTATTTATTGTTATTTTAAATTATATGTGCAGATACATTATATGTAATAATTTATAATAATTATTATTATTATTATGAAGAAAAGTTGTTTTGAATCTAAAAGACTGTAAGATTTATTTTAATATTTTTTTATTTAAAATTTTATCTAAAAATAATGACCAAATAAACTTTAGCAGTAGTATTAATAATAATAATAATAATAATTTGTATTGGTTTTATTTTACATTATATATGTTTAGATATTATATTTATATAACATAATAACACAATGCAAAGTTTTGCAAGCTAAATGAGTGTAAGAAAAAAAATTATATTAACAAAATATTAATTTTTTGTCTGGAACTCATTGCCAAATAGACTGTAATAATAATATACTGCATTATATATGTGCAGATAAATAATAACAATAATTATTATTATTATGCAAAGCTTTTGTTGCTGTTGTTTTTTTGCCTGAAACTCATGTCCAAATAGACTGCTTCAGAAACAAGATTATTTGTTGGTCCTTTTGCATATTTAGCTGTCCTCAGTATATCCAGTCACCCTGTTCCAGTTGCCCTATATTATCTCAACAGATGAGAAGCAGTTGACTTCTGGAATTTAGCTAATTAGGCTGCTGTAACTCGCCTTGTAACTCAACTAGTTTTATAAACTATTTTGGTGGAGCTCAAATTGTCATTAAAAGACACAAATGCATTCCAGAAATCATACACTTGCCTCAAGGTCAGAGTTTACACCACTAACCTGCAATACAGAGCTATTGCCAGCTGGCTAAAGGTGAATGATGTCTCCACGTCTACACCAAAGGGCCAAGTTTGCAGGATTCGGATGGCCGCCAACCAGTTTTGGAAAGTCACCTTCCATACTCTTGGCTCAGTTTATTCCTTTCAAGTTGTTCATTCCTTTAATGTTTGCTGGACTGGATTTCAGTAAATAATCGGAGCTGCCAGCGAAGGCCAGGCTAAGCTAGTGATGTCTGCTCATGTTAGAAAATGAAATATAGACTCTGATTGATGTGGTGTATTCTTAGGACTTCAAGACAATGATGGTGAATTCAGATTTTGTGATGAAACACTTTGTATTGCATGCCTGAGGGATTGCGGTTCAAATGGTTTTATTTGCCCGTCGTCCTAAGATTGCCGACAAACCTCCTATAACCCATCTTGTGTAAAAAAGCAAGAATGATTTGAAGGACATTCATTCGGATTCATTCATATTTAGCTTTTTTCAGTCATGTCACCCTCCCACTTGTAGAATAACATGATGACAATAGTGATGAAAGCCACTGAATACTGACACAGAATGTGGGAACACTGTGTTTCAACGTCGCTCTACCAACTGTTTGTTTTCTGCCTCTGCGTACGTGGACTCAAATAACTTTTATTACAAAGAACTGGGGAGTTGCAGCCTTGTAGATAGGATATTTTTGGCATCCTTTGAAAAGATTTTGGGATAGACTAGTCAGAACAACTGACAAGAAACTACGACTACTTTTTTGTATGTCCTTGAACAAATCGCCTTAGAGATGATAGTGATGTTTTTCAGCAAAGGTGAGTGAATTATTATTACAAATATTGTAATATTTCTTCTTATTATCAATGTTGAAAACAGTTGTGATGCTTAATACTTTTGTGGAAATCGTGATTTTTGTTTTAGGATTCTTTGATGAATAGAATGCTCAAAAGAACAGCACTTATTTTTAAATAGAAACTTTTCTGTCATTT